TTTGCTCTTTGATCTTCATCAGTAAATATTTTAAGGGTTCTTCACTTTCAGCAAGCAAGGTTGTATCATCTGCATATCACAGGTTGTTAATGAGTCTTTCTCCAATCCTGATGCCACATTTTTCTTCATAGAACCCAGCTTCTCGGATCATTTGCTCAGCATACGGGTTGAATATGTATGGTGAAAGAACACAACCTTGTTGAACACCTTTCTTAATTTGAAACCATTCAGTGTTCCCATGTTCTGTTTGAAAAACTGCCTCTTGGTCCATGTACAGATTCTTCATGAGCACAATTAAGTGTTCAGGAATACTCATATTTCACAATGTTGTCCCTAGCTTATCATGATCCACACAATCTAAAGCCTTTGCATACACAATAAAGCACAGGTAAACATCTTTCTGATATTTCAGCCAAGATCCGTCAGACACCAGCAATAATATCCCTCGTTTCATGGCCTCTTCTGAATCTGGCTTGAACCTCTGGAAGTTCTTTGTCAATTTATGCTAGCAGCTGTTTCTGTATTACCTTTTGTAAAACTTTACTCACATGGGATATCAAAGATATTGTCCGACTATTTCCGCATTCTGTCGGGTCACCTCTCTTTGGAATGGGCACAAATATGGATCTTCCAATCAGTTGGCCAGATAGTTGTCTTCCAAATTTCTTGGCAGAGATAAGTGTCTCCTGTGCCTCCTCACTTTCTTGAAAGATTTCAATTTTTATTCCATTAATTCCTGGTATCTTGTTCTTTGCCAATTCCTTCAATGCACCTTGGACTTCTTCCTTCAGTATCATTGGCTATTGATCATATGCCACATTTTGAAATGGTTGAACATCAACCATTTCCTTTTGGTACAGTGACTGTGTATATTCCTTCCATCTTCTTTTGTTGCTTTCTGCATCATTCAATACTTTGCCCAAAGAATCTTTCAATAACGAAAGTCAAGGCTTGAGTGTTTTCCTCAGTTCCCCCAGTTTGAGAAATGCTGAGCGTGTTCTTCCTTTTTGGTTTTCTGACTCCAGAGCTTTGCACATTTTGTTGTAATATTTGGCTTTATCTTCTCGAGCTGATCTTTGAAATTTTCTGTTCAGCTCTTGTACCTCCTCATTTCTTCCATTTG